GGCTTTTGACTTGGGATTTTCGTTTAGGATCACCAATATATTCATATATATATATATATATATATATATATATATATATATATATATATTATGCAGTGCAATATTTGCAATGTTCCCGGAATGAGCTTCTCTGTATGCCATTCAGGACTGGTCATCTTCTCTGTATGTCTGTTTGTCATAGCACGCATGACATGTGTGTGTTAGATACAAGGTTTTATAACTAGTATTGCACGCATGAAAAAACCCTATCAGAAGCGTGGACTTGTGGATTGATGAATTAAACTGCACCGTTCGAGGTGGGTTAGGTGCAACCTCCACTGGCATGAATTATGAAACGCATTAAAACGACGAGGCTTGGAAAAACTCATGTGAAGATAAGGTTCGAGTAGTGCCTGGTCACCAACAAGATGTTTGTCAAATTCTGCATCATCTTTTTGCTCAATATGTCCATAGATCGCAGATTTAAGACAGCATATGGCACTCAAGGGTACTTGACGAGGAATCATGGTATGTGTGAGCTTGTCATGGATGGAGATAGAACACGCCGAGAGTCTCAAGATCCCCCATGCTTAATTAAAACGCCGTCAGTTGCTTCCCACCGGTGGCAAACGGCCGGCAAGCGACCATGACATTATGAGCTGCATCACCAATGAGAGAGTTCTCAGAGCTTCCTAAAACTGGGAACAAAAATGCCGCCCGCCACGAGGCGGCTCACCGCCCGGCACCGCCACCAGGTGCGCGCCGGAGCGCAGCCGGGCCGCCAGCTACGCCTCAGAGAGGGGCCGGACCGCCAGCCACGCCTCAGAGAGGGGCCGGACCGGCAGCGCCGACACGCCGTCGTCACCCGACATCCACCTATTTGTAACGGTGGTGATCTCATGACGAGCGCAGACGCACCTGAGCGTGAGGAGGGCGGTGACAGCGGCGGTGGTGCGGGTCAGGCCGCCGTCGGTGCCGGCCCGACGGCCGCTAACCATCGGAGCAGTGGGAACGGGCCGACGACCGCTGACCGTCGGAACAGTGGGAACGGCCCGACGACCGCTGACCGTCGCAGCAGTGGGAACGGCCCGACGACCGCTGACCGTCGGAACAGTGGGAACGGCCCGACGACCGCTGACCATCGGAACAGTGGGAACGGCCCGACGACCGCTGACCGTCGGAGCAGTGGGAAAGGCCCGCGGACGTAACCATCGGACAGTGGACGGGCCGACGACCGCTGACCGTCGAACAGTGGGAACGGCCCGACGACCGCTGACCGTCGCAGCAGTGGGAACGGCCCGACGACCGCTGACCGTCGGAACAGTGGGAACGGCCCGACGACCGCTGACCATCGGAGCAGTGGGGAACGGCCCGACGACCCGCTGACCGTCGGAACAGTGGGAACGGCCCCGACGACCTGCTGACCAGTCGGAAGCAGTGGGAACGGCCGACGACTGCTGACCACCACACAATGGATGCGAGCCAGCAGCCCGGCCGCCAGTGACGATCCAAGCACTGGGCGCGGCGCGATGAACCGACGCGGCCCCCGCCGGCGGGGCACTGCGGCCGCTAAGCGAGGACTGGGCATGCAGGTGAGAGCCAGTGTCTTGGCCACGGTGTGTCGCAGGTACCTGCATTACTTTCCATTGATACATGATGGGGACGTCACTGAGCAGCTGGTCAAAGGACCGCCCGTGGAAAAAGTGCGGAGAGCGTGGGTTAGAGCCTGATGTTTGTTTCGTTGTTATCCTCGGTGATTGGCGAATAACTATTGATGCCAAGAAGCCGAAAAACTCGTGAATGCGTCGTCACTTGACCCAAAATCAATTTTCATTTCATTTAGCAGGCAGCTAAATTTCGATTTTGTGCGCTGGCAGCTTTGTCGGATCCTCAATGCCACCAGGATGAACGCCGCCAGCCCCTAGGCAGTCAGCATTCACATGCTCCGAGAGATGGCGCCCTTTTCAGTCAGTGCTAAAGGACCATGCGTTGGGGAGCACATGTGTAAATTAAATAAAAGCGCTTTTTGCTTGCTCTTTGTCCGTTTGCTGACACTGGGAACTACATGTTGAAAGAGAACCCGGCCGATTTAGAGGCGAATTGTCGACTCACTAGAGATGAACGTGAATTCTTAAGCGTGTGTATCAGCACGATAGAGAGCATGTGCTCCACCCGCCCTAGAATTTATACGTTGGTCCGTTTACGCCAAATCAGCCAACCGATAACTCCCGACCCCGTGGCATTTAGACAAAAGATCGGCTAGAAAAATAAAACAGATTTTATTTACACAAACAAACATACAAATAAAATCTATCTCAAGTTAACTTCTGTTTTCTGTCCTGGTTGCAAAGTAAGAATAGCAATAAAACGAAGAAAACCGTGCCACTTGTTAACAAATAAGCTATATCCGTGGATTTTGTGGGAGATCACGATAAGATGGGCTTTTGTCAACCTTATGTTCCCCTTGGCAAGGCTCTGGCTTCGCCCCGGCCTATACACAAAAGAAGATCAAGTCGCCTACGTTGAATGATGGGCAAGAAAATGTCCGCTGGGGCCCATTGCATACCTAAGGTAGGCAGCTTCCCGAAGTTTTTTTCTGCGATGTTGTGGTGTAAGGGAGGACAGTTCAGAAAAACATACTGCTGCAGGTGTTTTTTCATACGTTTTACAAACCAATTAGCAGTAATGCTGATCCGGAAATATGCAACAAAGCACCCATACGATCAGTTCGCGGTCAGTCATGCGGGAGACACTCGCCTCAGAGCAGTGGCCGCCGACAGCGGACGGTAGGAGGGCCCAGGTAATGAATATATGACAGAAGGGCCTCCATTCTGTGGCTTGATTTTTAAAGAAGAATTTCCAGTTGTGTGGGCTTTGTCACACTGCTTTTGACGGTTTCAAGTTTCCGAATTTCCTTCTGTCTAAAATGCTGCGACAAGTCTTATCCCTTGAAAATCAGCCAGTGAAATGAAGGCGCATACAAAATTTGTCGCACTGTGAACCATCGATTCGCTTTCAAAATTTTCCCCAACCTATGTCCAGGCGGTATTTTGGCATTTACCCTGTGTAGGCAGATGCCTCCCCAATGACCCAAAATGCCTATCCGCGCGTAGAGTTTAGCCTCCCCAGGAGAACAATGTTCAATTGGACAAATAATTCTGGGAAGCTGGACAGCCCTATTTGTCGAATGACATACACGAGTCGAGCACGCAAGATTGTGCACCAGCGAGAAACAGCTCTAGGTGCATTTTAGCAAAACAGGCATGGCATTTGAATAAAGAACGACAACAACCCTCACCTCTAATCATTCCCCCAGTCATTGGGGTTGCTTTCCAGAAAAAGTTCCTAAAGTACATCCTGAGCTTGCCCCCCCCCCACACTTTTGAAACGTTCCTACGCCTATGACCTCTGAACATGTTTCATGAACCAATTTGGTATGTTTGATGAACCAATGGGGTACGTTTCATGAACCAATGTGCTACATTTGATGACCCCATGGGGCACGTTTGATGAGCGAATGAGGCACGTTTGTACGCGGTGACGGTACCCAGGTGGCATATCCCATCCAAAATTGAGCACAATAGTGCAGCCGTGCTGGTCAAGGTGCTTGTCAAAATTTACCTGACTAGATGGCGCTGGGGAGTTGCGCTTGTGTTTGCGCATGATGGATGGAATGTCACTACAAAAATTATATTATCTGTGGCGTCTGATCTTTTCCAGATATCAGCATAAAAATCACCTCGGTTGAAAAGAACAGCCTTCATAGCATGTTTTCACACTTGCAGGTGTTGGCCATGGTGGTCGTCGGCCAGCAGCTGCTGGCCTTGGGCCTGAACGGTGGCATGAACAGCGTGACCCTCATCCAGGTGCCGGACGATCCCGACGGCTTCCTCAGCGCCGACCAGCTCAACTGGTCGATAGCCGCCACGGCGCTGGGCGCCGTGCTGGGCAGCCTGCTGGGCACACCGGTGGCGCCCGTGTTGGGCGCGCGGCGCCTGCTGCTGCTCACCATGCCGCTGTGCGCGCTCGGCTCGCTGGCGGTCGGCCTCGGCGGCCACTTCGGCTGGACACTTAGCGGCCGGGTGGTCATGTTTGCGGCGTTCGGCATGTCCGAGGGCAGCGTGCGTGGTTACGTATCCGAGATTGTGCCGCCTACGCGCCGTGCCCTCTTCACAACCCTGTTGAACTTCATGGTGTACCTGGGCCAGGTGCTGGCACTGGCCGTGGCGCCGTTGCTGCACTGGCAGGTGCTGTTCATCGTGGTAGGGGTGGTGCCCGCCGCACTTTGTCTCTTCGGTCTCCTCTTCCTGCCCAACTCGGCCAAGTGGCTGCTCTCGCGCGGCCACTCGGAGGAGGAAGCCTTGCGGTCCATCCGGTTTTTCCGTGGCGCGCAGGTGGACGCCGCTGCCGAGGTGCGCACTATTCACGATTCACTGCAAGACGGGCGTGGAGACGGCGCCGCGCTGCCCGTGTGGACCCTGCTGCGGCAGCGGGTCACGCTGCACCCGCTGCTGCTGGCCTCCGTCCAGATGGTGTTATACGTCTGGTGCGGCGGCGCCACGCTAATGCTCATCACCGCCTTCGTGCTGGCGCCTGTGCGGCTGCCACTAAGCGAGTATCAGCGCTCCACGCTCCCGGCCGCGCTCTCCGCGCTTGTCTGCGTCCCCGGCGGTATCATTATAGAGAGATACGGCCGGCTTCCGGTGCTGTGTCTGGGCGGCGCGCTCTCCACCGTCGGCTGCGCCATGATCGCCGCGTACTTCTTTCTCGCAGCGGAGTCGCAGGAGCGTCTCGGCTGGATTGTGCTGGCGGGCGCGGCCCTGGCGTTGGTGGCCCATGTTGGCTTGCTCAGCAATGTCGCATTCGGCTACGCCACAGAGCTGCTGCCCAACAAGACGCGCACCTTGGCCTCAAACATCGTCATCACTGTCCTGTTTGTCAATGAATTCTTGTTGACGAAAACGTACCCACTCATTAAAGAAGGGGTTGGTCTGGGTTGGGGCTTCATCATTCACATGTTGGTGAGTGTATGCCAAATATTGTTTGTCGTATTTTGTCTCAAGGAAACAAAGGGTCTCTCATTGGAAGAGATTCAGAACCTGTTTCAGAACTCTGAACAGGTAACTAGGTTGTCACTTGATGACGTTGCGTCACCACCAACATCCAGGCTATCGATGTGCCGCGTTGATGAATCGCAATGAAAAATCGCATTCTTCTCCTGGCAGCACATCAATGGCCAAGAGGATTTAGAACCGGCTCATGATGATGCAGGTTTCATTGCCACATCACCACCGTGCGATTGAATGTACAGAGTAAGGACTCTCCCTACGGCCGTGTTTATCGCCCAAGCTAACGTGCATGTGTCTACCATGGTAGAACGTGTGTGGAAAGAGTGTAAGATCCCATTGTTCTCAGCAACTTGAGGGCATAACGTGTATACCTGTGTCGGTTGTTCATGGTGTGCTTAATCTCGCCAAATTTTGAGCATTCTCCGCGCTTGGCAGTCGTACGCAGGTTTTGTAGCTTCCAAACCTAATGTGAAATAATGCAGTAGGTAGCCGTTCACGTCCTCGGAAGTGTTTACTGTTGTCATGTGCTACCTCCTTTCATCGGTCTGCCATGCCAGTCGGTACGAGCAAAGCCATAATCCCGGTTTAGGGGCCAATTTGCAAAAATGCCCATCTTTTCCTGTGGCTTTTGTTAGCGCTATATGCATTGCGTTAAGCGCGCAGCATGATGTCATGGATTTCTAAAACAACTAGCATCAACAGTAGGCACGAAATTGTTTTTCCGATTGTTATGGTCAAGGTGAGATGCAAAAATGCGGGGGAGACATGCCACTCAACGTGTCTTTCCGCTGTTGTTTCTGGCGTGAATAGCCTCGTTGCAATGTGATCAGGCCAGGGTGCGTCATTCATCCGCTGTCGTTGAGCATGGTCACCTGACACGGCAGATCCGTTCGCCTATCACCACCGTGACGCGATTAATCGCCGTACACGGACCCTACGTATGGATGGTGGACATCTGTGGAAAACGCAATAATGAGGTAGACTAACAACGCTGTGAAGATTTTCCGTCCTGAAAAGAGCGTTCTGCTTTCAAAGTTTTGAAAGTTTGGATTGTTGCTGCAGGCCATGTAAAAACACTTCTGCTCTCAAGTGATATGACATATTTTGTTTTGGTCCAAACATCTTACCTAATCCAAAGAAATTCGCGTCCCCGCAACAAGATTGCTGTAACTACGCAACTTGCCAGCGGCTCTCAAACCTTTTTGCTGCGAACGATGTAGACCGCTGTCGGAGCACAGCCAAAGTGGCGCGTCGCACGTGGCATGGAATAATGCATGGAATAACACTGCATGACGCTGCATTCAGTGCACCTTAGAGGCGTGAAATCAGCGCGCTCTTTCTAATGGCTCGTTCTAAGCCATTTTTAATTCGATGGCTCGTTCTAAGCCTCGTGAAATACGCATTGGCCTGGCCTTGCGGAGCAGCAGAAGTCCAGTCGCACGCGTGTGCGACGTAAAAACATCTCAAAGTACTGGAGAAAATCAGGCATGCAAGCATCGTAGGCAATGAAACGTGCGCGAGTGATTTAGTGCGCGCAAGTTGGTTGTGAACTTTATGCGGCTCTCAAACTGCACCTGAGATACGCGCATAGGGGTTGGGACAACAGGCACGAATACCGGACAATTTGGGAATCACTCAGAAATGGCCTGCCGATTTCAATATTGTGTGCACAATCCGCTGCAAGTCCTGGAGCTGGCAGCTGTTGCCAACTAAGGATTCTATATCTGTGCTCGCAGGCCGGCAAAACGCGAAACAAATTTCTCAAAAGTGGTAAATGAGGTGTCGCTTTGAAAAGACACAAGATGTGTGACCCATGGCGCAATGCAACATCCAACCCCGATCCAGTTCAGTGGCCCTTCTGCCGCAGGCCGAGGCGAAAGAGCGGACGCACCACCTGCCGGACGCTGCGCCACATTGAGTGACGAGGAGACAGATCCGGTCCATGACACTGGTTGAATAGTTTGCTGCCTGCCCCCAACTCCCTTTTCTGCAGTTTTTTTCTTTTGCGGAGGAAAGTCGAGAGGCTGATGAGATGTCATGTGCGATAGATTCGTAACGTTAACTGAAAAGCGTCCCGGTTTCTCTTTTGAAGGCAGCCCGGCGATAGATTCATAAGATTTTGCTGCAGCACGCGCCAATTCCATTTTTGAAGGCAGCCAAGAATAAATTGGTTGCCAAAAAAGCCCCTGTACAATGTGAAGAAATGTTCTCAACTGACCTGCATGACAGCTATGCTGCAGCGTGGTCTGATGTCACAGCAAAGCTCACAGCTGTAGGTATTTCAGCAACCCAGAACCTGCTTCATTTTAATACATCTTTACACTTTGTTTAGCCAACTTTTTGCATTTGACTTGTATTCTCTTGAGTTGCTTTTCTCCCTTTTCCTTTTGATGTCCCCCTTTTGCCTGGTTTTCATTTCACTTCTATTCTGTTTGACTGGTTGCTTGTTCAAATTGTTACAGTCGTCTTTTATCGTTTTCACGTTCGTCACCCTCACAATTCATTACTCTGACTTCTATCGATTTGATGGTAATCACTCTCACTCTTGATTGTTTTGACTTGGTACCTTTATTACATTAATGCTTTTCATTGTTATCCCCTTCAACTTTCATGCATTTTGGTTTTCCCTTTTGGTTCTTTGCCAATTCACTTTTACACCTTTGACTCTTTGCTCTTCAACTTCATGGCTTTTGACGTTTCGTCCGGTTACCGGCACATACCGGTTTCGTCCGGTTACCATCCAAGAGACGCCGGCACATCCACATCGTTATGCACCTCTTACGAGCTTTTGCAACATTGCGGCATTCATGCTTTCTTAAGGTATCCAACTGAGAGCTCCTCGACTTCGGCACCGAAAAGTTGACAATGCTCTGCATGTATGCCGTCCTGAATAAATTTGCAATTTTGGAAAATAACAGGAAACAAACAAAAGTATGAAATATCCTGCAACTATCGAAGGAAGGAGACTGGGTTAAGGACAAACTTAACCACAAAAACCCTGTTGCTGCAGCCTAAGACACGATGCGCCACAACGATCTAAACCTTTGGACGTGATCGAACCTGTCAACACACTTTGTTTACTTGGTTATTTCGATTAGAGCCCTTTGTCTCGGCCAGAAATGGTAATTTCATGGCAAAGCGGTGAATGAGAATGAAAAAAGGTGGGGCAGGACTTCATTCGGTCTCCACTTGCTAAATAATCTGCGGAAGTCTACAGAATCTACAAAATCTTCGAAAAACAAATATTTAAAAAATATACAAAATATACAAAATCACCCACCTTACCCATCACCGTCTCGAGTTCAGATTTCGTCAGGCGGGCTGATGTACTTTCAGGGCACCACCTTCTTCTGGCGCACCAAGCGCCCCCACCACCCTCCCCACCATGGGGACAGGGGAACGATGAATTTCGAAGCAAGAGCCAGACGTCCAAAATAACGCTGTAACCGCGCGCATTTGAAATGCGCGCCTTGGAATGTGTGCCTGCGCCTCTGAACGTGAGGTCGTTTTCTAAACAGACGGCGGCTGACACTCCTCGTCTTACAGCGAGCCTTCGGAACATCATCATGAAATTGTCCTGCGACAGGGGCTCCGTGAGGCTGAAGCGGCCCGATCTGGGCATAATCGAACCTGCCAACGCGCATTGGTTATGTTGGTTTTGGAGGCTCTGCCCGCACAGGAACCCCTGGGGCGTGTGCTCTCTGGACAGAGCCCCTCTGGGATGTGTGCTCGGCGCTCGGACGGAGGCCCCACCAAAAGACACTTCGACACACTCTTCGCTGGCGCATGCAGCCTGCCCCGGACAAGCGGGGCGCCGCGATGGTGCAGGATAAAGATGGACAGATGATAAGCGGGCGCATGCCATCACGTCAGTGCCTTGTCTTTTTGTCCTTTTAAGTAGATAATAAGCTATTAGCTTCCAGATAAATCACGCAAAATTCATCCAACAGAGGTCTTCCTTCTCCCAGACACTATAGGTGGCAACACAGAACGACATGCAATTCAGATGGCAGCGTAAGATAGCCCACACTCTGGATGACAGCTCTTTGCAGGGTGACAACGTGAAATCCTGCATTCGTCCAAAGCATAGTGGGCATTTGCTGCGTAGCTTAAACTATTACCCGGCTGTCATACTACTTTTAGGATTTCATCCAGACTTGACCGATATTCCGTGTAAAAACTGACGTATTTTGCCGACAGAATGTCCTGGTTATGTAATACCAGGGTGCCATAATGTCATTGCAAGAGATTTCCACAACAGGGCGTGCACTGACATCTTATTTCACTGCGCTGTCCGCCCTGCTGATATCACCTCGGACTTAATGTTGGCAGTCATATCCCGGTATAACTGTCAGGGCCCGAAAAGGCTTTAAGGTTACTTGGAAGATGTTTTACAAGATTATTGAGGAACCATTTGACCTCGCCTGACCTGACGATGTGAAGGTTGATTGCGATGTGAAGGTTGATGTGAAAGTTGATGTGCAGGCTCATCTGATGATTTTCAAGATTTTAACGCGATGCAACTGCTTTGTGATGTTGGAGACTGTTTCACACAAATTAAAATGCCGCAAGTTCTCGGCCTTGTGTTAGTCTTGTGCCCAACCTGACCCGACATGATTTCACCTGATATGCCTTTTTTCTGATGATGCTCAATAAATTTTCCATTACATGGCTTTTGAATATTCATCTGATAATGAAACATGAAGCATCTCACCTCAACACATGGTGCTGGCTTCGATGTGGGAAAATGATACAATTATTTGGCGTCAGGTTTAAAGATTTAACATTAACATTAACCCAAGACATCAACGCAACTGCTCATATCCTTAGCTAGTCTGCTGCATGCACGAACATGGAAATGGAGAGCTGTACACCATATCACGACATCCTTATCACGGAACGGTTAACATAACTCAATATGCAACCTTGCAAACTAAGGCATCGTGGGGGAT